CTAAAAGAAAAAAGTATGAGAAAAAAATATGTAATTTTTAAAAGTTAATCTGAAAACTGAAGGGCACAAAAATCAAACACCAGAACACAAGGGCTGGGGATTTAGCTTATGGGCATAAGTACCTGCCAGGCAAGTGCTAGATCCTGAGTTCAATCCCTGGTACCAAAACAAACAAACAAAAAAACCAATGGGTTCCCCAACCTGTGAACAGAAAATTGGCTCAAGGAAAATATATAACAGGGCACACCTATAATTTCATTTCTTGGTAGGCTGAGGCACAAGATCACTCCAAATTTGGGGCCAGCCTGGGCTAAAAACTGTGAGTTCACAGCCAGCCTGAATACACAGGGAGACCCTGTCTCAAAGAACCAAAACAAACTGGGCGTAGTGGCAAAAGTCCCTAAATCCAGCACTATGGAGCCTGAGAAAAAAGGATAGCTTCCAGTTTAAGGTCAGCCTACATTATAGAATAAGCTCAAGGCCGGTCTAAACTTCACAGCAAGATAGTCTCAAAAACAAAAGTGAAATTTTATACAGAAAGATACAAAAACTAACAATTACTTACAGGCATAGATTCAACACTTTATTTTTTGAGTGGTGGGGGAAGGTGACAAAAAGGGAAAAAACAAGCAGTTGAAATTTTAAGAGCCCAAACATAGGGCAACCCATGCAGACTCCTCCAGTGTCTAGGGAACTAGTCCAATTCCTCATTCCTTTTTTTCGGTAAATTTTCCTGCTCTAAAAAAGAAACTCAACTGAAAAAGGGTTATCAGTAATTTTAAACATTCTGTTTTCCCTGAGGGTTCTACTGAAAGCATGGAACCTATACTTCTCCAAAAGTACATGGAAGCGCCACAAAATTACCAATTTCTAAGAATTCTCAGAAATCACTGGCTCTCACTTTCATCCACATACCCAAACAAGAACCTCTGGTGTACAAAACAAACCAAAAGGCAGGGAACACATCTCTGTGTTTGGAGGGCGGTAGGCAGAATAGGGCCTTGAACCCAAGACATGCAAGCAAGAGCTCTATCCCTTTTTATTTCTAAGGCAGAGTCTCATGTTGGCCATGAGACTCCCTAAGCTATGTGTCATAAACATAAAAAAAAAAAAAGTCAAACATTCAACTCTAGGGATACAGGTAATGCTACTAATAAACAATATAATTTTTGACCATTTTCAAAATACTGGTTTGACAATGTAAAATATATTAAGAATCTTAAAATTGGTATGGTTGCAATAAAACTTTACATTACATTTCACAAATTAACAAAGTCTCCGCATCATATTTTCCATTAGCTTAATGTGGAAATATACCAAATGGGAGCCGGTAAACATGTAAGACGACACATGTCTTTTTCTAGGTATTCCAGTATCCTCAACTAAGTTTGCTTCCCATTAGCATTTTTTTTACTCCAGCCTAAATTAACTTTATCTTAATCTAAATTGTGTCCTAAACATTTTTATCTGGCCACATGTACCAACTCTCCATGATGAACTTAAATCATCATTTACTGCAAACATGTGCTAATAAAAATTTTAAAAACAAAAACAGCAAGATGACTGGGTCAAAAACATAATCTGGCCTACTTTATAGCATCTATGCTTGTTCTACTTTCAGATCAGAAGTTTAAATCCTTATTTTCTTCTTCTCCAACTCACCCAATTTTTCTTCTTGCTTACTCCTATTCTTTTCCCATTATTCCTCCCTTGCTCAATTTTAATGTACTAGCAGAGGGCTTTTTATTTTGTTTTGTTTACTTCTGTTTTGGAGGGTTTTTTTTAAAACACAAGGTCTCATGGAACCCTGGGTTTGGAACTAGCAATCCTCCAGTTTCAGCCTCCAGAGTGCTGATCAGATGCTTTAAGCATAAAACACCATGTAGTAATTTCAGTTCAAAAACAGAAAAACTGAAACAAAACTAATATACGTTTAGTTCCATACCTATGGAAAGAGATATTATGGGTGAATCAGATTCGAATATAATCTAAAATCATGTTTTAATTTTTAAGTCATCACCCTCACAGCTATTCAACAGTAAACCTAATAAATTCCTGTTCTAGCTCTTAACCTCACCAAGCTCCACTTGGATAATAACCAGTATTTACCAAAATATCCAGGCCTGGTGGTTACACCTGTAATCCCAGTACTTGAGAGGCTAAGGCAAGAGGATCACTGAGAATTGAAGACCAGGCGGGGCTACAAAGTGAGCTTAAGGCCAGGCTAAACTGCACAGCAAAATCCTGTCTCAAAAAGACAAAAAAAAAAAAAAAAAAAAAAAAAAGAACCAAAATAGTATCCTTAAGAAGGGAATGTCAGTACGACACAGTAAGAATATGAGTTGGGCTGGGGTAATAGAATCTGCCTATTGTGTGCCAGGCCAACACCTATCACTGCCAAGAAAGGGTTAAAAAAAAAAAAAAAAAACAGAAAAAGCAGAAGTGCTATATGGCCAGCTTTAGAGTCAGACTTTTAGGAGTGCTGGTCAAGATTGTAATTCTAACCAAGTAACTTTCTACAGTCTTCTTAAATCTTAATTTTCTCACACACTGTAACAGTGCTTTCTTCATAGTAGTATCTTCACAAATTAAGATATACTGTGTACAAGGCAAAAACACAATACCATTACCATCTATAAATGTTAACTACTACAATTAATTCTAGACCTGTAGTTTACATTATGGGAGAAAAAAAACTGAACCAACAGAGACAGGAAGAGGTACACATAAGAAAGAGGAGAAGCAGTCCAACAATTGTTCTCTTTGTACTCCACTGATACTAGAGTTCAATTCCTCAAGATTATTAAAAATATTGGCCAAGTGTGGTGGCACACTGTAATTCCAGCACTCAGGAGACTGACACAGTACAATCTCCGTAACTTCAAGTTCAGCCTGAGCTACACAGCAAGTCCCTTTCTCAAAAAAATAAAGTAAAATATTAAAAATATCCAAACATATTTGGGGATGTAGCTCAGTGGCATACGCGCCTGCCTTGCAAGCAGGCAGTCGTGAGTTCGATCCCCAGTACTGATAAAAAGGAAAAAGACCAAAAAAAAAAAAAAAAAATATCAAAACACTCAAGTAAGAAAAATCTGTCTCTGAACAACTCATGTAAGTAAGGTTCACAAACATTAGCCTATTTAAGGGTTAAGTTAAAAACCCTAGTCCCTGGAAAAATTTATCTTGACCCCAGTGCTTGTGCTAACACTATAAGGGAAACAAAATCACAAGTAACAGTCCAACTTCTTAATCACATCAAAGACACATATTTTCTGAACAAGCAACTTGAAAAACCATTAAACTGGAATGCATAAAATACAAGCTCTCCCAAAGTCAGAATGCTCTCACCAATTATTATACAAATTAAGATTGAAACTCAATTAGAAATTACTAAACACAGATCTAACAAAAGATGTATGTAACCTCATCTATTATAAGCAATTGTCAGTCAAACTTTAATTTCAATTTTAACGCAGATACTAAATGCTACAAAATGAGTATCAGAATATCTAGTAGATTCTTGCCTTTTTGTATAAGGGAGCTAAAAATTCAACAGGTTAGCCAAAAAAATTGTTTAGAAATAAATGAGCAATTAACAAGTTAGTAAGCCATCCTTGGAAAATTGTTCAAAAATTATAGTCTTTCATCTCAGAAAAATAATTAGATGAAATAAACACTAATTGTGTCAACACTCATCTTCCTCACTATTATTTTAAAATTTAGTGTATTTTAAAAAAAAATTAACTTAAAAAAAAAAAAAATCAAACAAAGCGACTATTAATTGTAACTGAAAACGTTCAGTCCTAGCCAGTTGTGAAGATGGGGATCCTGCTGAGAACAGCCTGAGCAACTTATGGAGACCCCGACTCAAAATAAAAATAAAAGAACCCGGGATGCACCTCAGTGGTAGAACACCTGCTTTACATGCTCAAAGCCCTGGGGTCAATCACAGTAAAAACTCTTAAATATTAAAAAGATGATTTTCGTCATTTGCCCAAAAAAGACTCCTAAAACTGCAACCATTATTAACAACTTTTCAGAAAAATGCTTTTTTTTATAAAATTAAGCCAGGTTAGGGGCTGGGGATTTAGCTCAGCAGCATAAGCACCTGGCTTGCAAGCAGGCAGTCGTGAGTTCGATCCCTGGTACCAATAAAAAGGAAAAGACAAAAAAAAAAAAATTAAGCCAGCTTAAGGTTGCTGGTTGAAATCTATGTATACACATATATTCATGTTATTTTAAAGTTTTCATTTTGTTGTTTTCAAGTAGAGTCTCATTAAGCAATTCAGAATGGCGCTGAATTCACTATGTACCCTGGAACAGGGGACTGGCCTGGAACTAGGGGAGCCTCCTATCTCATGTCAAGTCTCCAGAATGCTGGGATTACAGATATGTACACCTAGCAATTAAAAGGTTCTGAATTTAGCTTGCTGACTTTTTGTCTCTTTCCCGCTAATAAGTTTTCTTTTTAAAACCAAAAGCCTAATTTGAAATATAAAACTACCTCAAAAAAGTTGTTTGAAAAAATTTCTACAATGAATTAAAATGTCACAAACAGTTACACCCCAAAACAACACAGGTTGTGAAATACCAGACTACAAACCAAAACCTGTAGTACAGTTTAATGTTATGTATCTCTAAAATGGAACCTAATAACACAAAGTTTAAACTCACACTTAGAAATAAACTGGCTATGTAAAACAGCTAACAAGACACAAAATTTCTGCTGTAAATTTTCTACCTTTCTATGGAGTTACAAAGCTTAAAGTTAACATTAACATAAACACAAAAACTACTTTTGACACTGTTATAAATTTGAAATACTCTTAGTTTCTTTTTTTCCCTGCATTTTAGCTAAGACAATGGTTAATGGTTGTTTTTAGACTGTCCAGGAAATTGAAGCTAAGTAATATTATCACAAGAAACTGAAAGGTTTCCAACAATAACAAAGGATAAATTGGATTCTCATCAGTTTACAAATGAACACTTGATTTGCTCACCATAAGAGTACTTACAAATTCCAACAGGACTGCACAAGAAGGTGTTGACTTTTTCTCTGTAATCTTTATGTTTTCCAGTTTGTTTTTTTATTTTGTATCCTCTGAAATATCCAAGTTCTTTGAAGATACTTAACCTATGACTATTTGACATAGAGTTATTTCAAGTCAGCTACCCATACTTCTGTTTTAAAGTTTTCATATGGCTATCTCCAAAATTAGCCAAGTTCTTTGGATTTAAGATCAGTCTTCTTTATTATTCCATGTACTTGTCACTGTTGTATTTATCCCACTCCAGAAGAAATATCCAAGTTATGAGTCAAAAAGCAGAAACAAAAAGAAAATTTCACATCTGAAGAGTACTCCTAAACTTCAGCATACAGACACGAATAGCTATCTCAATACTACCACGCTGGTGGGAAACTGCAACATCTTAAATTTCCCCGTAAATTATAAAGGTAACAAGAAAAAAAACTCTGTATTCTTTCAATATCTTCATCCAGAAAAGCTGTTCCACTGAGACATGGGAAGGACTGAGGTCAGAAAATCCCTAAAACTTAATAAAGGTAAAAATAAATTGCCATGAAACTTCAGTAATAGTTAAACAATAATTTGAAACTGCTGAAACTACTCAATACACAAATTAATCATATCTTACAATTTTGGCTGAAGAACACCAACAGCAGGAGGGGGTGCTACCAGCTGAAATACTTTAGCCAGTTATATAATCCGTTTGAACCAAAATATTGATGAATATCTGGGTCTCTTTCTGGGTAGCTTCTTGAATTGATAGCACTATCAATTAACTTCAGAGACGATTCTTGCCAATTTTAATAAACTTCTGGGGCAAAATTATCCAAAAACACTGTAATTCCAAAATGGCCACATGAAATATCCGGGGCCTTTTACACAAAACTCAGAAGACGATCTTCACATCTGAGTAATTCAATCACCTGTAAAAGTTATAAAAACAAGTTACACAAAGTTTTGATTTCGAGCTAACAACCAATCCCCAGTTTAAAAGTCAATCTTGTGAGAGAAATTTGCTTCTATTTAATCCTAGGAGAGCCTGGAAAAGGGATGTGCCTAACTAAGCATTCAGTAAGTCTGCTGAATGGGGGGGGGGGGGGCACGGTATCACGTAGTACAAATGCCGGTTTGAACTGGAAACACGATATAACACTGACAGATTTTATGAACAAAAATAGTTTTGGGTAAATATTGAAACTGGAACTGGAACACAATCTTACGAAAGACCTAATCCTATTTCATGTACCAAAGAAAAGTAATACACAGACGTGTGCTGCCACGGACACTGGTACTGTGAATGTAACTTGGAGAAAAGAAGCTTCCTCCAAATTAAGAGTATCTAAAAGAGGAAGCATTATTTTCTCCCAGAGGCTAAAAAAGGTGGATATGGACCAGAACAGTACGTTTCTGAATTTTGCCTGAGACAGACCTTCCCCTCTACGAAGGGCTCCAATCGGGTAAAGGTGTGGGTTCCTATTTCCTTGAATTAAGAAAATAGGTTTCTCATTAAACTGGGGGAGGGTAGGAAAAACCAAGCCCTTTTCGTAAACCCCAGAAAGAACGATCTTTCCAGTCCCCTCAAACCCCACAGGGCTCCACCGAAGCTGCCCTCACCTCCGTCCGCCGCAAGGGTCTCGGACCTATGGGAGGCGGGGAGAGCTGGGACAAGTCAGGCGCCGCCAAAGAATCAGCCGAAGGCCACAGCTCGGCCTCGACTCCCTCCACGACGCCGGGCAGGGTGCACAGGAGGCGGCCGCGTGCTGAAGGCCCCGGGAGAGCCGAGTGCGGACGGCGCCTGACTAGTCCTAGCCTACGCCATCGCCCCCCCCAGCCTCGTAGCTCGGCCACCCGCCCCCTCCCCACAACCGCCACCTCCGCTCCGCCGAGCTGAGTCAGTCAGCACCGGGGGAGGCCTCCCCGCGCCTCCCGCCCCTCTTCTCCTTGCTCCCCGCCGCCCCCGTCCGCGGGAAACCGCACGTCGCGCCGCCAACGCCGCTCCGGCCCCTCAAACCTCGACACCGACCCAGGCACCCTCTTCCCTTCCTCCCCCGGGCTCCGGTGCGGAGGCCAGAGAATGGTGTTACCTTCTGCCCCACCAGAGGTACCCCTGGCCTGGGGGTGCCGCTGCGCTCGATCCCGGGAGGAGGTTTTCGGCACTTTGAATAATCCCCTTTTGCCGCTTTTCCCTCCCCCACAACCAGTCTCAGTCCCAAAATGGCGCCGACCCGATCCGCAATGTTCTGGGCCAAGTCTCGCGAGATCGTAGGTGGTGGCGAGGCGGGGAAGGAACCACAGGGGTTGAAGAGAAGAGGTGAGGAAGGCGGGGCGAGGAGAAGAAGGAGGAAGAAAGGGTGTGGAAGAAGTGATGCGAACGAACCTACTGGGCGGGGCAGCAGGAGGAGCGCTTCTACCAGAGAACCTTCTGGCCAGAGCAACCGCTCACGCCCTGGTCAGACAAGCCCCACCCACTACGTCGAAGGCTGGGGAAGGCGTGGCTACGATTGGGGGCGGGGCGTCGAGAAGGCCGGGAGGCAGGGACGCGCCGCAGCAGAGGGGGCGGTGGCTCTGCGCGGTGACGTCAGGAGCAGCTGGAGTCGGGGATTACCCCCTGCTGCTGACGTGAGACGCGAACAATCGGGAACGTTCTGTGGAAGGGGGAATTCCCCGCCGCTCCTCAAGGGGTCCCCTCCTCCCCCCTCGCGGGTTCGCCCCGAGCTCGAATGGCGAGGCTGCCGAGAGGGCGCGAAGGAAGCGCCGCATCCGCGCGGGCTCAAGGCGACGCGCCGAGCGCCTTCCCGGCCTCCGCGCTCCAGCCGGGCTGAGTCGGGGAGCGGACGTCGCGCGCCCGTGCGCGGCGCGGCGCGGGCTGAGCGCTGCCTTGCAGGCGTAGGAGCGGTCGGGCGCCCGAGAGAGAGCACAGGTACCCTGAGCGTGTCGGAAGTTTGTCCGGCGTTCGGAGCCGGCGGCTCACGAGACGATCTCTGCGGGAAGGAAGTGGAGATTCTCTCGAAGGGTGAAAAGCGCCACGAGATACAATCGTGTCGACTATCAGTCTGCTTTCGTCAGTGAACTCTTCCAGCAGAGGTCTCAGGGCCCCACGCAACCCCACGGTTTTTCGTTAAAAATGTATTCGTTTCTCTTACTGTGCTTAACCGAAGGCTAGCTTTGAAACCTATGATGCCAGCATTCCAGAAGGAAGGAAAATAACCACAGGAGTTTGGGAGGCAGGCAGAGGGTGTTTTAACAAGGGAAAATCCAGAAAATAAGTATTTGGCTCTTCGCCCTCTCCTAAACCTCAAGAGCTTCGTGCACAGAAACTTTACAGTCCTTTTATGTGTTATTATGGGGTGTATACTTTAACGGAGAGCTTCTAAAAGCTTCCTGAAAGACAGCTGGAATGTAAACTCCACCAAATTCACACAGCTTTTATTTCAGTCTGCATTGGGAAGATGGCTCTTTGGCCACGGAAAGACCCGCTGGGTGCAAAGGGAATTGAGGCTTGCAAGATGCTAGATTTTTTTTATCACATGTGTCAGCCTCAGAGATGAGTGTTATCCTCATTTTGCAGATGAGGATACTGGACCATATTAGGTAACGTGTTTAACGTTGCACAGTATAGAAGTTGAGGGCCGAAACTTAGATGTTCCCGGTGGAAATGCAAGTCTATATGGATCGTAATTCACACTGTACACCACACCCGTTTGCATCTGTAGAAGTCATTCATGGGTTGTGAAAAGACCCGTTTATGCTCCTATTTCTAAATATAACGTCAAACCAAAAAATAAGGAAAAAATTAATAGTTTAAACATAACAGATTATGTCTTTCATATGATCGAAAAGACACTGTATAGTTGGAAAACAGTGAAGTAGGGAAATAATTGTAATGTGTTTAATAGTTTAATTATATATCTTTAGTGTCTATTTTTACTTATAAATATATGTATCAGAAGCTCTTACAAGTAAGTAAAAGATAACCACATTAACTCTTTAACAAGTCAAAGAATAGTAACAGCTAGTGTAGAGAGGCAGAGTTATTATATGGAAAGATATTCTACCTCACTAGAAACCAGAAAAAAATAAAAATAAACTAACAGTGATATACCAGATTTCCCGTAGCAGATTGCTATTAGTTTAAAACAACTAAAAAGGTAGTTGAGGGTACAAGGAATAGGCACTTATTTGCACTAATCATATCAAGAATAAAATGAGGATTTAGCTCAGCAGAGTAAGCGCTTGCCTGGCAAGCATGAGCTCATGAGTTCGATCCCTGGTATAAACAAATTAATAAATTTTATTAAAAAAAGAAAAGGCTGCATAGGCATTCTGGAAGATGATTTGGTTTTGATAAAAGTGAAAAGCTGGGTAGCCAGGCATGGTGTGCATGCCTGTAATCCCAGCCCTTGGGATGCTGAGACAGGAAGATCAGAGTTTGAGACCAGATTGAACTACATAAGGAGACCCTGTCTGGAAAATGAAAACAAAGCTAGGAGATGGACATAATAGATCATTCCTTCAATCCCAGCTACTCAGAAAACTGAGGCAGGAAGATTGCCAGTTCGAAGCCACATTGGGCAACTCAGACTCATCTCAAAAGAAAAAAATAATGTTTATAAGATGGAGTTGAGCATGATTGTGCATGCCTGTCATCGAGAGGTTAAAGCAGGAGAGTAATTTTGATTTGAGACCAGTCTAGGCTCCATAGTGAGTTCAAGATCTGCTTGAACTACATAGCAAGACCCTGTCTGAAAAAAAAAAAAAAAAAGATGGACATATGAAAAGATGTCCACAGAATACCGTTAAGAAAAATAAGAGGGCTGGCTCAGTGGTATAAGCTCCTGGCTGGCAAGAAAAATAAGAGGTTACAAAACTGTGTTTATGAAACTCCTTTTTTGTCAAAAATATTCCACAATAAACATCATCATCATATATTGCAAACATACTAATAAAGGTATTTGAAACTATATATATTATATATATGTATATATATAATATATATATAGCTTTATTTTGTCTTTTGAGACCACCAAAACAATTTTCTAAAGATTAAGTAACTTGGTCCAAAATAATAACTCAGATACTCAATGATATGTAACAAAGGCATTTATTTCTAATTTATTTGTAATAGTGAAAACCAGAAAACAAGCATCCATCACCTGATGGCTACTTACAAAAAAAATTAGCAGATCTGTGTAACAGAATACTATACAGCAGTTTAAAAAATAAGGGAGTTGTGTAGTTCAGTGGTGAAGCATTCACTTGGCATGTTTGAAATCCACAGTTCAGTCCCCAGCACAGCAACAACAATAATAATAACTAGTATGTAAACCAGTATATACTGACATGGAAAGATACTCATTATATCTTGAGAGAAAAAAGTTAGTAGCAAAGCAATGTATGTATCTTGAGCCAGAATCGTGGCATATGCTTGTAATTCCAGCACTTGGGAGACTGAGGCAAGAGGTGTTTGAGGCCAGCCAGAACTACATAATGATACTTTATCTCAAATCCTGCCCCCCAAAAACTTGATCACTGGGTTTTTTAAAAATATGTATGTTGGGGACTGGGGATTTAGCTCAGTGGCATAAGCGCCTGCCTTGCAAGTGTGCGGTCATGAGTTCGATCCCTGGTACCGATAAAAATGAAAAAGAAAAAAAATATATATATGTATGTCGGTACAGGAATGGACAGAGTCTGAAAGATAAATAATGTTCATGAAATCAGACATGTTATATAAACTACTATGCTATTTGAATGCACTGTATAATAATTTAACGTGTAAAATTTAATTTCCCGAAGATCCACAACAGTTGAGAAACACATTAAAAGACTAATATAAGAAACCTTTTAGCAGCTTTCAAAACTGAATCTGGGGTTCTTCATCTCTGTTCCCATTGTAAACCCTGCACTTAGTTCTATCACTAATATCCACCCATTTCCACCCTTTCATGGTAGACATTAGAAGACATCCTTATTCTTCCTTTACTATGCTACAATGTGATTATTAACTTCTTACCTGTTTCTAGCACTAGACTCAAAGACCTTAAAAGCGGGGAGGTGGGGCACAGACCTGGGCTGGAGGCCTAAGTGCCTGCTTGGCAAAAGCGAGGTCATGAGTTCAATCCCTGGTAACAAAAAAAAAAAAAAAAGCAGTATCACTGGTGTGGTGGACCACACCTGTAAACTAAGCAGGAGACTGAGGTAGACCATACATTTGAGCCCAAGCTGGGCTGTATAGCAACTTTGAGACCAACTGGATTTCACAATGAGACATCGTTAAAAAAAAAAAAAAAAAAAAAAAAGAACAAAACAGTGACAGTCTTACACCTGTTAACCCACAGCAACCACTACAGTTCTAGCCACAATGTAAATTCTCTACTAACATTTGCCAAATGCATGACAAGTTCTCACTAAATTGCCCAGACTGGCCTGAAACTTGTGATTCCCCTGTTTTAGCTTCCTGAGCTTAGCTTCCTTAGCTAACACAAGACGATCACAAGTTTCAGGCTAGTCTGAGTAGCTGCAATTGCAAGTATGTGCCACACTACACACAAGGTGTAAATTCTTATCTCAGGTCTCTGCTACAGGTAAATGTCAGAGCCTCTGAATTCTTACACAATTTATACACACTTTTATTCATTTTTTTTCTTCTTTGTATCAGTCTTTCTACATGATAAGACACTTATAAGGGACACTGTTCTACTGTTCAGCCCTAAACCAATGCTCACTATACGTGAAGAAAGGTAAATTTGAGCCATTAGTAGAAAAATGATGCACCTTGAGGCTATAATGTTCAGTGAAATAAATCCTGTTCATAAACTTATCACATGGTCACTTGTATGAAAAACCCAAAGTATAAATAAATTAAAGGCAAAAATATGCATAGTAAGAAAAAGATCTTTTGCAAATGGAAAAGAGACTATGAGATGGGTTGGGAAGACATGTAAAAAGAGTTAACATGTTTTATGTACATGTTCAAACTCTCCATAATGAATATAGTCATTAAATACTACAAACATAAACTAATAAAAATTAATTTTTTAAAAAAGTAAATAGTCTAATACTAATATTAGGAGTGTGTTCAAATAACAGTCCACTAAATCTTAAAAAAAAAAAAGTCAGGGCCAGGGATTTAGCTCAATGGCAGAAGCGCCTGCCTTGCAAGCGCACAGTTGTGAGCTCGATCCTCAGAACCAAAAAAAAAAAAAAATCAGATCTCACCCACATGTGAAAATAAAAAATCCAGGCAGATGTGGTGGCACTTGTAATCCCAGCACTTAGGAAGCCA